CTCCCTGCTCAGTAGGGAGCCTGCTTCTCCCTCTCCCTCTGCCTGCCTCTCTGCCTACTTGTACTCTCTATCTCTGTCAAATAAATAAATAAAAATCTATAAAAAAAAAAAAACAAAAAAAAAAAGAAGAAGAGCTTTAAAAGAAGGCTTTGGAGGAATGCATGCAGATTCACTATATTGTAGGCATAATAAGGAAAAAGACAAATTTGTCATGGTGGAATCATGTAATGACTTTGAAAGTCACATAATAAATGACTCTGAGTTTATCCATTCTTTTGGAGTATTCCCCCCTGTTCTCACCTAATCTAGTAACAACATGGATGACCATGTGTGAATTTGGTAACTCAAACCTTCTGGAGGAAAAAGCAGGTAAGTAGCTCAGTGATGCCCTGGAGAGACTCTCCTTCTCAGAAGATCCCTCTGGTAAAGGGTTTTTCCCTCATGTGGCTAAGAAGGGTTAAGTGACATTGAGTATCTAGATGATGCCTCAAGATTCCTCTAGCCTTCTGATCCTTTCATTTAAAAAAAAATCCTTCCTCTGTTGTGCATCTGCTTAAAAGAAGGGCCTATTCAAAGACTTTCAGGTCCTCAATGGAGAACACCCATTACTGACTTTCGTTTCTCCATGACATTGCATAAAAAATTGTGCTAATGAAGAATGTGTGGTAATTTAAAGGCCAAACTTAAGTCTATATTTACAATCTGAAAAATTTGTTTCCTAAGTAAAAATGAAATAAATAAGATGTCAACAGACTGTTTAATGAGGAACTATTTCATATGTTTTAACACCTGTGGTTGGTGTTATTTATAAGATACTGAAGATCTTATTTATATCTCCGTATGTCTTACTGTATATCTGCCTAAACCTATTTCAGACAAAACATTATTAGTCTAAATGTATGACTGCCTATGTAAAAAGATTTAAACCACTGTTCCTTCCAAAAAATTCCATCCATCCAATTTTCATTAATTTAGACTGGCTTTCCCCATTGACAATAGACTTGGTAACTAGAAGCTGTAAGAACATTCCATGCAGAGTGAATGGTACACACAGAGCCAGTGAGTGCAACATGTCTAAGTGAAGTGGAATATGAGGAACCAAAAGATGAGTGTAGCTGGCGTAGAGAGAAAAATTTACAATCTGGCCTTTTCAGAAAAGGTTTCCTGGCCCCTGGCATAGAAGATTCACTGAGAAGCAGGTACTCACCGAGAAGACTTTCTCAGGCTGACCCCGTGCTCTCATGTTTGTGTCATGAATTAACTTCAGGATCATCCACGCTTCATCATGTTTTCCAACCTAAGAAATGCGAACAGACACTGAAGGGCTAAAAGGTAAAACACTTATACTCCCTGATTTTCCAATAACCATCTTGTGTTGTCAGAGCAAGTTGGGTGTAATTGCACAAATGGGATATCCCACTGGATATCCCTAAATACCTGAGCAGTTCAATGGATGTGCCTAGAACTAGAAATAGCATCTTTAGCTGCTAAAAGTTCATGTATAAAAAAGACAAAGTCCCTTCACTGAGTGAAAAGTTACTTGCTTGGGGAGGAACATTAGTGCTTTCAGGCCACGAGGCAGCTTTTTCACACACAGGTCTTTTAAAGCATGTCTCCACAAAACCAACCCCTCCATGGTTCCATGGCAGGCAAGGGAAAGCGTACCTCCTAGAGAGGCAAACACACTTTCCTAGAATTAACAAGGAACTTTTTCCAATGTGTGTGGCTCCCTTAGATATTCACAGTAATACATGTTACCTCCAGCAAGAACCGTGGGCTTTCAGGCATGAATGTGAGGGCCACCACCGAGGAGACACAGGGGAGCGCGCAGACTATCACGAACACACGCCAACTGTGAAACTGGTAAGCTGACCCCATGCTGAAGCTCCATCCTAGAAAAGAAAGAATGGAAGAGTGAAGGACAGCGCCTCTCAGATGGCCTGCTGGGAAAGCGAGGACCCTCCCCCCAATCACTGTGGGTATCTACACTGCGAATGTATTGTCAAGTCTTAATACTCACAGAAGAATGAGACGATCTGGGCATTAGCCATGGTGACCAGCTCAACTTTACAACCACTAATAGCAGTGGTGAGAGAAAGAAACCAAAGGGGTCAGGGCTTAAGTATAGGGGTACATGTGTGTTTCTGCACAATCAAATTCCAAAGGCCATGATAAAGTAATCTGGAATATTTTTCCAATAGACCTCTGTGCTGGGACATGTTCTGTTTGCTCTTCCAGGTCACTGCCCCACCCCACCCTCCCTGCTGTGTGCCAGGAAATGGACTGCTATGGAGGCATCAACTGGCTCCCTTGACCATTGGCTTCCACTGGGTCTGGCATGGTGGGAACAGCATTCAAGATATTTATTTCCCTTGTTTCCCTTCTCCCTTCCCCTGGCTGGGGGGAGATTTGGCAGTTGGTATGCTCACCCCCTGGGACCTTCTCCTACAGCCACAGCTCTTGTCAGCTTTTGGCAATCCCTCCATCCTGGTGTTCTTTGAGGCACAGGTAGGTACAAGATGCCCTCCTGCTGCTAGCTCCTAGGTGCTTTATTATTCCCTCTTGGTTTCTTTTCACTGTTTCCACGTGACTCTTCAGTGATCCCCTGTGAGGGTGTTCTTGGTTTCCTGCCAGCACCCTGACCCGTACAATTGTGAAGAAATGGCAGGTGCGGTATCTCTCCATATGCACATGTCATAAAATAGATCAAGACAATCTAAAATTTCTAAATAGTATTTTTACTCTAATAAAAACAAGCATAATGGGATACAAACAGAAATCTCTTTAAAAACTAAAAGGAAAACTGCTGAGAATAAACGGAATCCCACTGCCAGAGTCCCCTAGTTATATAGCTAAGTGTAAGAACTAAATAAAAGCTGAAATGAAATGATAAGTAAAAAATAATATTAATAAAATTTAAATAACAGTGAAAAAAAAGAACTAAAGGAAGCCAATATTTGAATGAATATAAAATGGTTGAAAGCTAAAATCAAACATGATTCTAAATGAGAAATAATGAAGGATATCAAATCTAATTGAAAACAGAGCAGAAATTTATAGAGATATAGATGAATTACACACGGCAAAATTTTAGTTTTTGGCAATACTTGGCACTTATAAGGCCTTTTGTGAATAAAAGTCAGGTATTTTATACCCCATCCCCAGGAGAGCAGTGTACTTATTCATTATTTACACAGAAGCCAAGTGAGATTCTGAGGGTGATGTAACTTCCTCAGGGTCACAAAGCTGAAGTTACACATCAGCACCTTCTCCACCAGGATTTGAGGCAGAGTCATATACCACACTCAGCCTCATGTGCATGCACACTTGCTCATAAACACAGAATTTGTTGACAAATGATGTAAACATCAATGACATGGTACATCAATCTTAGATTCATAAACATTTTCTGGGAATTTAATACCTGATGGTTATGCGAATTGGTAAATTAACCACATCATGAACTTTAGGAGGGGCTGTCTACTCTCAGTGTTTTCTGTAGCAGAAGTTCCGAAGTCCCAAATACCCAAAACACAGAAAAAAAAAATTGATGGAATAGAGAAAACATACCTTGTTCACTTCACATTTGATCTGAAAGTTTCTTATAATGAATATCTTTTTTAAAAGCTCTAGATCCTATTATTTTACACACTGGATAAAAAAGAAAAGCTATAGATGGCTGAGTGAAGCAAATGCAAAGCTACAGCACAGGACTACATCACACTAGTGGATAAAGCTGGAAGCTTCTGGCGCTAGGACAGGGCTCCCTCCCTGCCCAAACATGTCCTTGTCCCCATGCCCAGACCTGTGACTACATTACCATATATGGCAAAGGTACCTTGCAGGGGGGATTCAGTTAAGGATCCTGAGGTAGACTGATTACGTCATAGAGTGGGGCCTGACTTACATAAGCAGAAGAGCCTTTTCATGAGAGAAAGAGAGGGAAGGAGATGTGATGAGGGAAGTCGGAGGTCAGCTCAGAGAGAGATCTGAAGGTGCTGTAGTGCTGACTCTGAAGATGTAGCCGGGGCCACAAGCCAAGCAATGTAGGCGGCTTGCAGAAGCTGGAAAAGGCGAGGGCTGTCTTCTCCCCTCCCGCCCCCAGAAGCCCTGCCAACTCATTTAGACTTCCGACCTCCAGCATTTTAGGGTAATAAACTTATGTGGTTTAAAACCAGTCAGTTTGTGGTGATTTCTTACATCAGCATTAAGAAAGCCAACGAATCGTGGATCACTACATCAAAAACAAATGATGTATTGTATGGTGACTAACATAACATAATAAAATAAAATTAAAAAAAAAAAAGAAAGCCATACAGCTCTCTGTAGTTACAGCTCTGTTGCTTATATGATTGACAGCAATTAAATTGAAGAATTCTAGCTCTTCTCTATGAAACCTCAGGCTCCTGGCTTTTGCTTGGACTTCTCCAATGGCCTCTCCTATGACTTCAGTCTCCTTTTTGACAGCTGGTCTTAGAAATACTGCCCTTCACTCTCACCACTCCCAAACATCACATCAATGAGGGAAGAGACTGAGTGCAATGTGATTCCATTCGAGCAGTTTTCAGCCTACGGAGGAAATTGGACAACAAATAGAATCTAATCCTGGAGGAGAGCTAGCTGGTCCAGAGTCCCCCTCTCCTCAGCTTAAAATGCAGTTTTTTCAGGTGTAGATTCTTCTGTCCAGCAGCCTAAGTTTAGCCTGATCGTTGCGGTTCACATCCTTCTGTACTTCGTTAGCCGTGAAGTCAGTCTCTGACCCCCTGCTTAGTGTGTGTGTGTGTGTGTGTGTGTGCTCTTGCTTTATATAAAGGGGGTGGGGTCCACTCCTTTCTCTCTCCGTTTTTTGCAATATGCATTTCCCCAGCCTCCAAAACTCAGTTGTACCCTTCTTCTGTCTCTCTTCAAATCTCTAGCCATCTACTCTACTCCGTGCACTTGACCCCCACCTCCTGTTTTCTTTGAGAATGCAAACACAGGGAGAACTACATACATCTCATCTTTTCACTCCTGAATCTTCTCACCCACCTGTGCCTGTCTGTACCCTCCGCCTTCTCTCAGGGGCATTGGCAGTTGGTCTGTTGTAACCAATCCAAGGTCAATCTGTCCTCGTGACTCTCTCCTCCTTCTCTCTCGCAAGGACAGAACTCCTGTAGTTACCTACCCCTCCTCTCTGGTCCTCCTCATGGTGCTCTCTCACCTTACTTGATGGGTCATTCCATCAGCACACCCATCTCCACCATCTAAGAAAAAATCCTACCTTGACCCCCAGAGGCCTCTCCAGTTGCACTGCTACTCCTCTGTCCCCATTCTCAAAAGAATGGTCTAGAGCAACGGTCTCCTGCTTCTGCCCCCAAGTCCACAGAAGCTGTGCCAGTCAAGGTCATCTGTCCTGCCAAATCTAATAGGCACTTCTCTGTCCTCTTCTTACTCGAACTGTCTAAATTATTCCATATGGCTGATCATGCTCTTCCTTTGAAGAACTTTTTCCCTTGTCTTCCTCATCATGACATGTGCTAGTTTCTTTCCCGCCTCATTGGCTTTCTTTCAGTTTCCTTAGTTGACTCTTTCTCTGACTAGCTCTCCAAAGTCGGTATATCCTAAATATTGGTTGTCAGTCCTGTTCTCTGGATACAGGTTCTTTCCAGGCAGACTCGTGTATTTCCATGACTTTAAGCACTATCTATAGGCCACTGTCTCTGAAACATGGCCTCTTTTCTTTCTAGAGCACCAGAAACCCTTCTCTACCTGCCTATTTACATCTTCACAGAGATGTCTACTGGGCATCTCAGAGTTATTGTGTCCAAAATGGAACTTCTGATTTCCTGCTCTGCTACCAAAGAAAACTCTTGCTTTTCTTTCAATGTTCCTGCTTCAGTAAATGACACACTGCCAGCCACCCAGATATTCATGACTAAAACCAAGACCTCATCCCCGAGTCCTCTTTTCCCCTCATCACACTCAAGGTCCAATCTCTCCACAAGCTCCATCTCTCCAACAGACCTCAAAGCCACAACTTCTCCCCATCTCCCTGGCACCACCGAACTCCTAGCTGGCAACGCTGTACCCCTGACCTACAGCAGGAGCTTCACTCTCCTTTCCCTGTCCCCCCGCCATGTACCACAAGCCACTCTCCCGACAGCAGCCAGACTTACCCTTTTAAAACATCGATAAGAGGGGGCGCCTGACTGGCTCAGTCAGTAGAGCATATGACTTGTAATCTCAGGGTCATGAGTTCAAGCCCCACATTGGGCGTAGAGACTACATAAACAAAATTTAGGGCCACCTGGCTGGCTTAGTTGGAACAGCATGTGACTTTTGATCTTGGGGTCATGAATTTGAGCCCCACATTGGGTATAGAGATCACTAAAAATAAATAAACTAAAATGTCAATAAAAGGGCTGATGTCCAAGATCTATAAAGAACTTCTCAAACTCAATACCCAAAAAACAAATAATCAAGTCAAAAAATGGGCAGAAGACATGAACAGACACTTCCCAAAAGAAGACATACAAATGGCTAACAGACACATGAAGAAATGTTCATCATCACTAGCCATCAGGGAAATTCAAATTAAAACCACACTGAGATACCACCTTACACCAGTTAGAACGGCAAAATTGACAAGGCAAGAAACGACGAATGTTGGAGAGGCTGTGGAGAAAGGGTAACCCTCTTACACTGTTGGTGGGAATGCAAGTTGATACATCCACTTTGGAAAACAGTGTGGAGGTTCCTCAAAAAATTAAAAATAGAGCTACCCTATGACCCAGCAATTGCACTACTGGTATTTACCCCAAAGACACAGATGTAGTGAAAAGAAGGACCATATGCACCCCAATGTTCATAGCTGCAATGTCCGCAATAGCCAAACTGTGGAAAGAGCCGAGAT